TCTAGATGGGGATGCAGCTGGGCGATCCGCCCAATATGTAAATGGGCAGACCGAATCACAGGCACTTCCTGGGTCTCCATGGTAAACACCAGGTCAAGATGAACCCCCAGACTGCCAACTGAATTCTTTGTGGTGAGAGTCAACCCCCCCCAAAAAGAGAGGGAGTTCCCCAAACCACTGACATCAGGGCCAGCCACTTGCAGGACCTCCCTCTTGTCCGGGTTGAACCTTAGTCCATTCGACTGCATCCATTGTAGAACGGCCTCCAGGCAGCACCCAAGGCACGAAACAGCATCCACTGCAGTTGGAAAAAAGGAGATGTAGAGCTGGGTGTCATCAGCATATTGGTGACACGAAGTTCCACATCTCCGGATAACCTCACCCGACGGCCTCATGTAGATGTTAAACAGCATTGGGAAGATGATCAAACCCTGTGGGACCCCACTGCTGAGGGACCACAGGGCCGATACATTCTCCCCAAGCTGAACTCTCTGAGGACGGTCCTCCAAGAAGTACCAGAGCTAAGCAAGAGCAAGGCCACCAATCCCCAACTCGGAGAGCCTCCCCAGGAGGATACCGTGGTGGACAGTATCAAAGGCGGCTGAGATGTCAAGGAAGACAAGCAAGGACATTTTGCCTTGTTGGCCTCCCTAAGTAGGTCATCTAGCAGGGCGACCAATGCCGTTTCCGTGCCATGACGCAGCCAGAAGCCCAACTGAAACGGATCCAGGGCACTGATTTCATCCAAGAGAGCCTGAAGCTGGCCGGCCACCACCCTCTCAACTACCTTGGTAAGAAAAGAAACATTGGCAATGGGCCACTGCCAAGCTCGGTTTCTTTCTAATTGGGCTAATGAGCATCTCCTTAAGGGCAAAAGGTACCTTGCCCTCAAGAAGAGACCCATTTATTATTTCAGTAGCCCATTCAGTTATCACCAGCCTGGCAGCTTTGATTAGCTAGGCTGGGCAAGGATCAAGAGAGGAGGAGATGGCTCGGCAGCGATCAGTTGGACGTCACAGGTTGAAAATGAGTAATTCTCAAAGGACAAGGAGCAGCACTGGATATCTCAGCTTGATCCCCTTTTTTAAAAACTGGGTGCAAGATCCCAGCAGATGGTGTCCACTTTAGATTTTAAAAATGCTGTAAATTGGTAATAATGCTAGATGGAGGCCAATTGTTGTGGCCAATTCCGGATAGGTCATGTACTATACGGAAAAGTTCCAGACGCTCTCTAGCCTAAACTATTGATAAAAGAAACAACCTGAAGTAAAATTCTGAACAAACCATTCTCCAAACACAAAATGCCAATAATAAGACAAATTTTAATTGTAAGATTGAAATAAATGAAGATAAAATTATTCTATAGCAACCTTCTTCAATCTGGGGCTCTCCAAATGTTTTGGACTACAACTCCCCTGATAACTTGCCAATGCGGAGGGTAGGTCATATCATCTGGAGGATATTAAGTTGCAGAAGGCTGATCCGTAGGAAATCCTAGAGGTTTTGAGGAAGACGTTTAGGAGCAGATTCTTATGATTTTGAGTTACTACCGTGTGTTACATACAGCACTGATGTTACCTGTCTGTCATGGGTTTGGAGGGAAAGTTCCATCCTATGGGGAGTGGAAGGCGGGACATCAGGAGGAGGGGCTGTACTGTATATATAGGTGAAGCCTGTGTGGAGAAGGTCAGGAGACTCTGGGATGTGAAGAAGCAGCAGCTGGGAAGAAGAAGCTGGTGTGGGAGTCTGTGTGTCAGACAGGGTACTACTGTGTGTCAGAGTACCAACCTGATAGGTTCAGGTGTCTGTTGGTTAGCCAGAACTGATAGGTTCAGGGTCTGTGCTTCAAGTTAAGGGTTCTGTGTGAACCAAACTGTATGCATGTATGAATGAGACTAAGCCACGTTACTATATCTTATTCACCTGATCATTTTATTTTTCCCTGTGTGTGAGTTAAATAAACCTTGTTCTTTATTTATTTAAAAATCCATCCCTGGTCTGTGTGACTTATTAAAGGGAATGGTTGGTGGCAGCTTAGTTAACGTGTGGCAGGTCCCAGTAGGTCTGGGTTTGTCACACCGTGTTTCCACAAAAATAAGGCAGGTTCTTATATTAATTTTTGCTCCAAAAATGCATTCGGGCCTATTTTCAGGGGATGTTTTATTTTTTTTTCATGTACAACAATCTACGTTTATTCAAATACAGTCATGTCATCTTCTTCTGGTTGCTGCACAATAGTGGAGGGCGGGGTTTCAGTTAACTGGGGCTTATTTTTGGGGTAGGGTTCATGTTACAAGCTTCCTGAAAAATCATACTAGGGCTTATTTTCAGGTTAGGTCTTATTTTCAGGGAAACAGGGTAATCCAGGGTTTCTCAGTGCAGATGGTCTTTGTTTTAGAATGCCAAAGTCACATGCATTTATAGTAGGAATATTATTCTGAGAATTGGGATGAATGCCTTTTTGCTTAGCCATCATGTTACTGTTTGTCATGATTATGCAGGCAAAAAAATCCTTCCACTGTCTTGATTATTGTCTTTCCAGTGAATTGGCCATTGAACGTTTTGTTCTCAGAGGAATGATGAACTCGAGTCTTGCACATGATACCATGCTGTACCACTGGTCAGGCATATGATGCTTTATTCTGGTTTCTGTGCATCCATTTTTGTTTTAGTTTATAAGAAAGAAAAATGAGCCATAATGAATCAGACCATAAGTGTATCTGGTCCATCATTCTGTTAAGATAGTAGCCAACCAGATGCCTGTAGGAAGCCTATAACAGCAACAGTCTCCTCTTTGTCTCTGATGAGACTCATCAGACGCATACTACCTCTGGTGCTGTGGGTAATAAATATCCACCAAGGCTGGAAACCACTCTTGTTCTCCATGAATTTGTTTGGTACTCTTTCAGAGCCCTCCAAATAGTCGATCATCATTTCAGTTGTGGTTGTGAATTCATTAGTTTAAGTGGCAAAATAACATAGATATAACATAGCCTGCATTGGTTATATAGCCACAATAAGAAAGTGTGGATAATGGTAAAGCACACAAATGAAGCTAATATGTTTGCTTATTTGAAACAGGAACGAAGACCATTTCTTGCATCAGAATGTAACGAGCTTCCGAAAGCTGAGAAGTGGAGGCGCCAGGTATTTGCTGTTCGGTATGGTGTGGCAAACTATTGGTAACAATCCTGGGTATATAAATTAATTCTTGATGCCATAATTCTAACTTCCATTTTAACCCTTAGCTTTTCCATAGATGTTTTTAAAATAGTTGTGTAGCTTCCAATTTCCTACGTTATCCATTGGAAAATGTCTGAATTGGTGGAGAGTAGATTTTTCCCTATTCCAAATGAGTAGGAAAATTATCATGAAGGGTTTACTTCAGAAGGTATCTTTATTGAAACACATGCCAACAGTAATAGTCATATTAATATAAAGTTTTAAAAATGTAATTAGGACTCTATAGGTAGCAAGGAGAGACAAGAGGGCCTTCTTAAATGAACAATGCAAAGAAATAGAGGAAAATAACAGAAAAGGAAAAACCAGAGATCTGTTCAGGAAAATTGGAGATATTAGAGGAAAATTTTGTGCAAAGATGGACATGATAGAAGACAAAAATGGAAGAGACCTCACAGAAGCAGAAGACATCAAGAAGAGGTGGCAAGAATACACAGAGGAATTATATCAGAAAGTTTTGGATATCCCGGACAACCCAGACAATATAGTTGCTGACCTAGAGCCAGACATCCTGGAGAGTGACGTCAAATGGGCCTTAGAAAGCCTGGCTAACAACAAGGCCAGTGGAGGTGATGGCATTCCAGTGGAACTATTTAAAATCTTAAAGGATGATGCTGTTAAGGTGCTACATTCAATATGCCAACAAGTTTGGAAAACTCAACAGTGGCCAGAGGACTGGAAAAGATCAGTCTACATCCCAATACCAAAGAAGGGCAGTGCCAAAGAATGCTCCAACTACCGGACAATTGCACTCATCTCACACGCCAGCAAGGTTATGCTCAAAACCCTACAAAGTAGGCTTCAGCAGTATGTGGACCGAGAACTCCCAGAAGTACAAGCGGGATTCCGAAGGGGCAGAGGAACTCGAGACCAAATTGCCAACATGCGCTGGATTATGGAGAAAGCCAGAGAGTTCCAGAAAAACATCTACTTCTGCTTCATTGACTATGCAAAAGCCTTTGACTGTGTGGACCACAGCAAACTATGGCAAATCCTAAAAGAAATGGGCGTGCCTGACCACCTCATCCATCTCCTGAGAAACGTATATGTGGGACAGGAAGCAACAGTTAGAACTGGATATGGAAAAACGGATTGGTTCAAAATTGGGAAAGGAGTACGACAAGGCTGTATATTGTCACCCTGCTTATTTAACTTATATGCAGAATACATCATGCAGAAGGCTGGACTGGAGGAATTCCAAGCTGGAATTAAGATTGC